AATATAAATATTTAATAAAATTAATTAATAGTTTAATTAATCAATATTAAATAAAAATATTTAAATTAGTTAATAACAAATTTTTACATTTTTTGTATTATGGTTCAAATAACTAACTAAATTAGAAAGTAAATTTTAAAATAAATAAATAAATGAATAAATAAATATTTCTTATATCAACTCAATAAAAAAAACAAAAAAGAAAAGACATAAAACCAATGATCTTAATAAAATAAAAAACATTTTTAAAGAAAATTGATGACCCAAACTATATTTAAAAATTGAAAAAAAAAATTAATAAAACATGGAAGTAAAATAAATAACAAATTAATGAAAATTAATCTAAAGTTAAGAGAATGAGAAATAATTCATCCCAACGTCATTCTCTCACTAAGACAAAACGAACCAAAATCTATCTCTCTAACCTTACAATCAACTCAAACAAAATTTTCGACATGCATAGCAAAAGAATACCAGTAACTAAATTCAGTAGTTTCTCCAACAATCTCTTTTTCTTGTTATTGAAAGAGATCTATATTGTATATCACTTTCCACTCCATTTTTTTAGACAAAACCAAAAGATTATGAAATCAAAACTCTTCTTTCTCAAACTCAACAAATGCAATGGATTTCAATTAGTGCCTAAATCCAACTAAAATAAAATTGAAAACAACAGGAATTTCAAATCAACATTGCAAATGCAGTAAAGAAACGATAACACCTAATTTAAAAAAGCACAGATGGGATTCGAACCGAAAATGCTACACAAGTGAGAAGGTTTGTTGCTCCGTGGTTGTGAATCGTTATTATTCTTGCGGCAACTTGAACTGTGTTGGTATTGTTGTGCTGCTGAACCGGAAATGTCACCGAGATGTCGTCGGGTGTTACCGCTTTGGTGTTGTTGCTGTTAGATGTGGTTGTGCGTTGGTGAAGCAGTGATCGGAGGGTGAGGTGTTTCACATGGTGGTTTGTTGATTAATGGTGATATATAAACTCAGCTTGCTTAAGATACTGCTTTGAAAAGTTCCCTGGTTTGCCAACAAGAGCTTTGAAGAGAAAAATATCCAAGCTAAATATCTTTACTTGTTCTCAGATTTTTCTTTTTAATATCCAAGAGAGAGAGCGAGCCGAAGAAGAAGGAAAAAGTTGAAGGAAAAGGTACAGGTTGAATAGAAGTGGGATGGTGAGGGTGTGTCGCGTGCTCTTTTTCACGAAGAGGTGAAAGCAGTTGCGTGATGTAGTATGTGTGTGGGTGGTTTCACAAGAATGGTAAACAAAACAAAACCTCTTTATAATACTGGTTGGTTGGTTAAGGGTATGTTTGGTTCAATCGAAGGAGTGGAGGGGAGAAATTTTTATCAAGGGAAGGGGAGAGATTTTAATTGGTTCAAAATATAAAAGGGAAGGGGAGGAGAGACATTTTATTTACAAATATGTTTGGTTCACAAGGAGAAAGAAGGTATTTTAAAACTAATTTACTTTTTTATCCTTCTAATTTTAATATAAGACTTGTGATATTTACCGTTTATAATTCAAATACAAATTTATTGAGGAAATATAAATATTCAATCAGAGATCATCATGAAATATTTTATAAAAATGCAACAAATATAATATATAATTGGCTAAATTACAGTTTTGGGTCCCCTATTATTATAAACAAAAACATTACGATAACTAAAATTAACATTAAAATATGAAAAATAAAATAAAAAATTTAAACAAATATAATGATAGTAAGATGAAGATATAAAATACAAAAAATATAAGAAGAAAGATTAAATTTCTTTAAAATAAAACTTTTAACATTGTTATAAGTTAAATTTATATTTAAATAAATAATAACGGTAAATATGTAAATATAATTATAATTAAAATCAAGCACCTCTAAATCCCTCCAAATAGGAGGGAAGCAAAAAGTGGTTCAGGAGGGATTTTGGTCCCCTCCATCTGCCTCCCCTCCCTTCTTAAAATTTGAACCAAACACGTAAGTTATTAAATATTTTCTCTCTTCCCCACCCCTTCATTTACCCCCAACCAAACAGACACTAAGGTCTGTTTGGTTGGGGCGTTTTGGAGGGGAGGGGAGAGAATATTTTAAAATAGATGGAGAGAATATTTTAAAATAGATGTGTTTGATTCAATTTTTTACGAGGGAGAGGAGAATTACTCCTGGAGCATTTTTTTCGTTCTCTCCAAATTGGAGGTTTTCAGAGGGGAGGGGAGTTATATAACATGTAATTTTATTATATTGACAAAATTATCCTCACTTTTATTTAATAAAATTTTTAATTGTCTTTATTAATGTCTAATGACAACTCTATTATTTTTATTATTATGATTCAACTTTTTTTTTCATGTGTTTTATTCCATTCATTTTTATTTAATATTTTGCTTGTAATAACTTAATTATTTTATAATTTATTGTATTATACTACATATCAATATATAATTGTAGTATGAGTTATATATTATGTAGAATTTAATCTTATAAATATGTTATAGGATTAAATGGATTATCAAGATGAAAAAATGGTTCATATGATCATTGATCATATAATTTGATTTTATCACATTTATCAATATTTTATTTTCATTTTAAGATATTTTAGAGTATTTTAAATGTTAAATATTTTGTGTTTACTTATCTATGTTTTTTATGAATTAATAATTTTTTTAAAAATTTATTTAGCATGATTGTTATAATATTTTAAGGGTAAAAAAGTAAATTGGATTTAAAACCCCTCCCCTCCCCTCCCCTCCCCTTATGAACCAACCATATATTTGAATAAAACTTCTCCATCCCCTTCCCTCCCCCTCTTTTGAACCAAACATACGTTTAATTAAAATACATCTCTCACCTCCCCTCCCCTCCCCTCCTCTTTATTAAAATCTCTCCCCTTCCCTCCCCTCTCATCCGTTGAACCAAACGAACCCTAAGTGTTACCAAAAAAAAAGAAAAAAAATAACAAAATCAAAATATTAAATATTAAAAAAAATAAAATAATAAAAAGAAATAAAATATCAGCTATTTAAAAAAATAAAATATCTAAAATAAAAACTGATTAATAAAAATAGATATTAAATTAAAAACAAAAATAAAACAGTAAAAACGAGAAGTTGGACCAGTGTCAAAATGCTCAGAAAAATAAAATGAATATACTAAAATGATCACCAAAAAATATACGATTCGAAAAGTACATCGTTTTGTCAAATTTTAAAATAAATTTTACTCGTTAAAATGACTTAAATTGTCCAAAAATGCAAAACGTAAATTAATATCACTGAAGTTTGCAAGCTCGATTTTAAAATTTTATGTCCACTGATTTTACGCACAACTGACTTTTAGTTTAACCGATTCGGCTGTAAATCCAACAAATTTATTATAGCTGATAAATTGGTATTATACGAAATGCAAGACATGATAAACTATTCAAATGATGCAAAAGGACGTGAGATCTTAGAGTAAAAAATTAGGGTGTGACAGTAACCCTTAACCTAGAGCTCTCGATACCATATTGAAAAAAATAGATAAAAAAAAATTGTGATTTTATTCCTCAGTCAAAGGCTTATTTATATAATGAGAATACAATGAATATACTTAATTCTCTCCTTAATGGAGAATAAAAGAAAATAAATGAAAATTAACAAAAACAATTAAATAGGAAAGTAAATTATTTTCCAACACTATTTAACCTACGGGGTTTTGTTTTCGGAAGAACGCCGTAGTTTAAAAATTGTATCAATGGCCTTGTTGTCACATCACGTCATTAGAACTTAACTTTTATTTGTCAGTAATTGACAAAAGGGACCAAATAGGGTAATATAAGTAAAATTAAGGGACTAAAACGTTTTTTTAGTTAAAGGACTAAAGCGAGACATTAAATTAAATTAAGGGACTAAAACATATATTAAGCTAAAATTAAAAATCACAAAAATAATTGTCGAATGTAAAAAGATACTGAAGAGTTGTTAGAAGTTTGTTGTCCAATTTTAACCAATTGTAACTGATATAAGTAGCAAGGATACATTCATCACTTTGTAGATTTTATGTAATATTTCATTCAATCAATAAAGTGTGAATGTTCTTTCTTCTTCAATGGAGTTTTTGATTGTTCTTTCACATGGTATCATCGATCTATGAATGGTTCATCATCTCTTTCCGCTGCTTACACAAATCTCACCAGTCTTCTTCTATTTTTCACATATTCTTTTTCTTTGATTCTTTCCACTGTGAATTACATTTTCAACATTTCTTCTTCTTTTTGCTGCTTCAACAATGTCAATTTTTTGTGTGCACCACTTCAAGTGCATAATCATGATATTTGCATTTTATTTTCATTAGAAGGAAAGATTAGACTCAGATCCAATCAAAATTTCAAATTATAATTACAGATATAAAGTTCAAATTATAATCATGTCACTAAATTGTTATTGACACAAACTAAAGAACCAATTTGATTTTAATTGTCATTCTAAAGATCTCTTATGAGGATATATCTCAGTAACACATTTCTACCCTTTCTTAAAACAACCTAACAGTTAGTTATCTAAATGCATATAACAAATTTTTACATAGAAGTGATCATGAGTTCTGGTCAAGATTACTCGAATATCCAAAACAAAGATAAGCTCTATAACAGCAAAAATAAGCAATGGAGGAGCTATAAAATGGAGTAAACATGAAAGAGAAATCAGGATAGGGAGTAGAGATTCAAATAGCAATTACATAATTGGTTGCAATCGCATCACGACTCTTGGTATTTCAAAGAAACCTGGTCAATTGCGACCATGTTGCAGTTTCAGCTATATCAAAAACCTTTGGGTTGCACCCCATATCTCAGATGCGCAGACCCTTGGGGCAATTTGAGGATCCAAAATATCTGTATAGACTATAGCAAAATGATACAAGATGCGGGTAAAATAAGTAGATTAGAATGTTGGGGCAGACTAGTCTCATTTTTCTTACCCATTTCCTCAATCTGTACATTATTTATTATTTAGGAAGATGGATTTTTGGTTTGGTAAAGAGATTGGACTCTTGATTCCAACAAAGCCACATATTTATCAAGCATAGAGACCACCGCTTCAAATTCGGTCACTTGCTTTTCTATGGCATCAATCTGCTCAACATACTCGTTAAAGCTACCACTCTTGCATTTCAATTGCTCCACAAACACCCTTAACCCTGAAGCCAAATCACCAAACCCTTTATACTCTTCTGCAACTTTTGCATTCATTTTCTCCACTAGCTCTAGATGATTATTAGTCCCCTAAAACAATAACCATTGCAAATTATAACATAATAAATCGATAAAAATCACAATTGATTTTCAAAATGATGGTACATTTCAAATCGCCAAGTGTCTGCAAAATTTATGAGAGGTAGGATCTTAATAGAGGGTTGGAGAAAAAAATGAAGGATTTCACCTGAAGCTCCGATTTGATCATGGTGGCGACACTACTGAAGAGATCATTTAGTGATTCAGCAAGTTCATCATGCTTCTGATCTTGGGCTTCATCTTTCTTTATATTTTCCATGATTGGAGCATATAATTGACCAGTTCACAATGGAAGGTTTGGAGTACTATGCAAGCCAAGGTGACAATCAACCAAGTGTTGTTTTATGGTCCAAGCTGCAGTTGTTTCAAAAAGAAAACAATCAATTTATAATTATAAGCTCACAAATCAAACCCTAATTAAATATAATCTTCTGATAAATTAAATGTGCTATGAATTCCTAGTTTACGAAGAATTGGTATTAGAGACCAGACCACCATTATCCAGTAAATTCCCTGTTTTTTGTTCTATTTATTCACCTACAATTTAAGCAATCAGAATTGAAAATATGAGAAACAACTTTTCTGTTTATCGGAGGAGGGGAGAAAAGACATCAACAATTTTTGTCAAAACTTTCTTAGCTAGAGAAGAACTTCAAACTGAGAAGTGGGTTATAAAGTAGTATGTTATATGGATTCTCGCAATTCATCTTTATTAATACAAAAAAGATATTTGAAACCAAAAAGAAGAAGCCAGTAATTATAGGCTATAGATCAACCATTAATAGGGATCCATCATTTAGATTTTAATTACTTTGCCACAAGATATGATTTACAATAAGATATTATTATAGACTTGTTTGCTAATGTAGATGGCCTTTGCTAGTGGAAAAAGGGTTTTGTTACTAATGTAGAAGAGTCAATGAAGACTTTGTTTCATTCTTAAAGATGCTTTAGATTGGCTGCTAATCTCAATTAATGCTTGCTAGCAAAATTATGTGACGGATAGAAACTAAAAGAGTAAAATGGCTGGTGTGTCCTTCCAATTGTACCTCATTGTAGCTTAGTTCTTGATTATAATTTAAGAGATTAATGCACACATTAGAATAAATTGTCAGTGAAGTATATTTTCTATAATCAATATATTATATTTCTCAATTAGCTAAATATTCCTATGAAAAAATGATGTTAATTATACAACAGGAAAGGAGATCTGTCTGAATATTGTATTGGCAATTAGAATGTTACCACTCGAGCACACAGTACCTCAGACTGCTCAATTGTTTGACAGTTGTGATCTAGTTAAGTATTTTGGTTCTTGTTCGTAGAATTTTACTGGCTAAATTCTGAAGATATATCTGCCAAACGGTACAAGTAAGTGTACATCCCTGTGAACTTAACCTATATAGTTATCAAAATTTGAAAGAGCTGTTCACGAGCTTTACAACATCTCAACGTTTTTCTCTCTGTAAGGCTGCAAATTACATTGGAGGAGGTGGAGTTGCTTCTGATTATGTATTCATATAAACTGATATCTATGATTAAGAAAATTAAGGGATAAACATATAATTTATTACTTCAACTTCCGGAGAACGATTTTCAAAACAGAGAAAGTTGTAATAAAAATTACAGAAACATAAACACTCACAAATCTGACAGAAAGATAATAGAAAGATAAAAACAGTGAAAGCAATTGCCAATCAAGATGTTCGACAGCTTGGTCTCTCCAAATAAATATCCAATCCCCAATAATTGGCTACTAACTTTACCTCTAGTTTCCCTATTTATTCAATAACTGCCTATTAGTATTCTACTAATAAGAGGTCTAATACTATAATGTTCTCCTTTTTTCTTCAAGAGTTATCAGTTAAAGTCTTTTTGAACCTATATTTAACATATCTAGTTTATTGAGTATGTTTCCATCACACTTTAATGTTTTCTAAACGGAGCTTTAATTTCACAAACATAAAAGTAGTTAGTAGTTAGTGTTCTGTTAGGCTGGTATCTAAAAGAGAAATCACAAATGGCTTTCTCTTTTTTGCAAGAGCAGAAGTCTAGGCTAGACCCAACATGAAAGTGAAAATAGACCCGGAAAAAAATTGTACCTCTAGAGAAATTTGACTGTGGACTCATACTTTCTTTAAGTCGCAACAGGGGTCCCCTGACCCCTGTTGTGGCACGTTACAGCTTAAAGTCTCACCCAAAAAAACCCACACAACTCTCTCTGTTCCTCCTCCAAATATTATCTACCTACAGTTCTGACAAATTAACTAAACAACCAACAGGTGGATCAACTTGGGTCCTATGCGCCTATGGCCCTACTGGACCCTCTAACCCTCTAATCCTGTTCTTCCTTGTCAACTGGAAATGTATGAATACTTAAAATTCATGCAAACTCGTGCCCCCAGCAAATACCTCCCTCCATGGAAAATTTATATTTTGCATACTTAAAATCTGTAGAAATTACCGATGGATTTCATGCAGCAGTTTAAAGAAAAATGGATTATGACAAAATATCCCTCTAAAAATGCACAATTAATATGAAGAAAAATATGCAAGAAAATCCTCAAAAGAGCGCATAAATGATTATAGATGGATTACTCACAAGATAGCTGCTAGCTGTAGCAGTAAGGTTAGCTTGACTCACTCTCTTGAAGAAATCAGGGAAATAAACAGACAGGTTGTCCAGTATTCTACCAATGTACACAAATAATAGAATCATATATATGGCATGCCATTTAACGAAGGAACCACAACGACTTCAATCATTTTCAAAAGAAGCAATACTAACTTTAGGAAAGAGGAATTGTCTAAACACCGCTAAAGATTTTATACAAAACTTTGACAAACACATTTCACATTGTCACTCAATCATAGCGATCAGAGCATTCGAAACGTTTCACTTTTATCATAATCACTTCTAAAGTCACACACATAATTGATTGTGATGTGCTGATTTACACTTTCACTGCATAAAAACTAAACCCTAAACAATATAGCAAGTTGTTCTTTGTCCCAGCTAATAAACTTGAACTAAGCAACATTGCTTAACCGAAGAACTTCCATTAAGCTATTTAATTGTAGAAACAGTTAATACATAAATCATGAGACTAAAACCATTTCCACGTATGAATCAACACATGTGATTTGGACCGAAACAGTGTGAGTTTCACAATGAGACGAGAATAATAACTCATTTGACATAAATAAGCATCTGAGATCATGAAATTATAGAGTTGAATTGAAAACTAGGGTTTTCTGTTTTTGATTATTGATAGCACGAGGGTTAGAAAGGGATTTAAGGATGAAAACTATTTTACCTGTTAATTAGAAGATGAAGATGAAGCAGTGGCTGAATCCTCTCGACCTCATGGGATTCGTTTTGTCACCTGTTTCTCCTTTTCTTTTTATTTACCTTCTTTTTTTTTCAAAAAACGATGGTTTCATTTTTATATAAAAAAAAATGGTTTCATTTTTATATTAAAAAAATGGTTTCATTTTTATATTAAAAAAATGGTTTCATTTTTATATTAAAAAAATGGTTTCATTTTTATAGAAAAAGAAAACCTAATTTAAAATTAATACTTGAAATGTCTTATTTCACAATCATGTTAAAAGATTAGGCTATGTCTTTTTATAAATATATTCATTTAAATAAACTAAAAAAATTTAGACTAAATAGTAAGTTTTTGCGACGAGATTTAGTTAGGACATCTAATTGGTCTTTTCTATAAACATATGTTGAATTGTTCAAAACTTTCACATCTAATTGTTAACACCTAGTAAGATTTAGATCTTGAGAGAAGCACACTCTCAAGACCCAAGCCTACACCATTAGACTAATTGTTGGGTTTTTTTTTATAACTTCTAATTTTCTTTTCTATTTTTTCACCACTAGTATCCGGTCTACTGGACCGCCTAATCTGTTTCGAGGGTCATTTTTGGCATCAAGTGGTTCCAACCCCCTTCCGATCGCAGTTACGGGGGATCGATCTGTGGTTCTTTCATATTTAATGAGACGAGAACCAGCTCTTTCTTCTTTCTATTACGAACTTCCTTGATTTTTCGAGAGCTATCTTAATTCACAGAGAAATAGAGTAGTGGAAGTGATAGTGACTCATCTTTTCCTCATGTTTTCCTAATAAATAGGACGATCATGATTATTTGTAACCCAAAGCCCAAAGAAGTAAGAGAAGTCAAGTCCGTTTATATCACTGACGGCCATATAGCCTCCATTTGCTATAAACTTGCTTTTTCTTCTTCTGGTGATGAAGAAGAGGTTGTTTTTAGTTGTGCTCTGTGGAGGACAGGGCCCATATGGTCGCTTCTAACGCCTTTTCTACTTCTTCCTTTTATTTTTATAAGTCTGCTATTAGTGATATTGGGGTTCGCCTCCCTTTTTCTTCTTTTGTTGCAGAGGATTTCATGGCACTCAACATGGCTCCCTGTTATATCACGCCTAATGGTTGGAGCCTGATTCAGGCCTTTGAGATTGTATGCTAGAGGTTGGGGTTGGCCCAACCATCATGATGTTATTATCTTTTTATTGTACCGAGAAGCCTACCCCTTAGGGTTGGGTAACCCTAACGGGCCTTCTTGGAGAGCTTTGTTTAAACCTCATTCTTACCACTTAAAAGATTGGAGGGAGAAACTTGTGCGACTGAGGGGGGAAGGATGAATCCTCCTTAGTCACTAATGGGGAGTATGGCACCCTTAGGTTTCCTCTCACTTAGACGAACAACCCCATGGAAATCAATGGATTCAACTATGATTGCCTTACCGATTATGAGGCTGAAGTGGTCTAAATTCTACATGGTTTAAAGGCTTAGGGTTTAGTGTTTAAGGTTTAGGGTTTGTGGTCTAACCTTAAGGAGATCCATCTACTGAGGATCCTCCTCGTGGAGCAAATTGATAAGGACGAACGCGAAAAGGCAGATAAGGAGCAGAAGGTAGAGCTCTCCAACTACCATGGAGATGTGGCCAAAGAGCTAACTCTAATTGAGATTTTGTAAGTAGAGAATGTGATCCTGTTAGGAAAACTCCAAAAGGAAGATTCTAAATATCATGAGTTTGCTACCAGAGAGAGCTACGTGAATCCTTGGAAAAGGCCTTCAACAGTCAAAAAAGGTTGGAGGACATTGTCACTCGATTATAACGATCAGAGCATTTGAATCATTTCACTTTTATCATAATCACTTCTTAAGTCACACACACAATTGATTGTGATGTGTTATTTACACTTTCACTGCATGAAAATTAAAC